GCAGCTGCGTCTGGTCACCTGGGAAAGCTTCTTCCCACAATGTTGACTCCTTCGACTCACGTCGAATCTTCTTCTGTTGCTCGACTCCGACACTGAGAACTCCTCTTCTGCTTGAGAGAGATGTCATTGTAATCCGCTGATGTCACCCTCAATTTCAATCAAAGCACGGGGAAGCCCTAGCTTGCGCCTGACATACTCTCACATGCACCAATCGACTTTATAGGTATGTCAATCTCACAATCTCGCCTGTCTCCTCACTCGTCAATTTCAAGAACGAAGGAATCCCTTCATTTCCTGACTTCTAACTTCCTCTCCCCTCTGTTCGGTTTCCCCAACTCCTCATTTTCTCTTCTACCTTTCTGCTATCCCTGACTCCTCTTTTCTTCTTCTTCTGTTCCTTAGACTCTTCGATTCCTCTTCTCTAGGTAGACAAAACGAGTCATTACAATCTTTCCCACTTATAAAAATTTTTTCCTTGAAATTTATAAAGAAACCTCAAGTCATTTTTCATTAAACAGATCAAAATTAATTATGCATGAATGAAAAGTAATAACTATACAGGTAAAGAGTCGATACAAGGCGAATCAGTTATACTTCTAATAACAATACTTAAACAAGAGAGTATTTTAGGAAACATAGGCCAAACTCACCAGACTTCATTACCATTGGCAGTAGTAGGTTCTTCAGTCTCACTTTGAGTAAATGAATATACTTGTGGTCGAATAGATTGCCTTGATTGATCTTGGGTCGGAGCTGAAGCTGTAGCTCTATCTTTTTTTGTTTACTTGTAGTCTTATATGAATGAGCTCCACCTGATTTTTTTTTATTTTCAATGCTCTTCGGGCCAAGAGATAGATAATATCTTGCTATCTAACCAGACCGACGAGACCAATAACAAGTGTTAGTGCCCATCAAACATTCACCTTTATCTTGTCTTTCCTATTTGAAACAAGTGACTCCAATACCCTGAGTGATAACTCTATGGATTCTACCTGAATTATTCGTGGTCTTTTCATTTGATTTTTCTGAGTGATCTACATGTTCTTCTGTAGTCTTCCTCTTATGCATCTTTTTACGCTTCTGAGTAAGTTGTTAGTCAATCTTCACTCTACCATAATGGTTCTTTTACCATATGAATATAGATTAAATGCATAATGATCTACACTATTAAATGAATCTGAATATTATGTACCATAATGGATATGGTACATAGAATCTATTAAATGAATCTGAATATTTATCATATCATTATACATCTGATTGATCTTATTAATTTTCTTCTTCATCTACCAAAATGTTGTAGAGATTCTTTTACCATAATGGTTCTTTTAATTAAATGAATCTGAATATATAAATATCATTCTATATCTCTACAACTTGTTACAGAAGCACCGTCAAAATTTTTTTCAATTATGACACATCAATAATATATTTTTTCATTTACATGAACGGGTATCTTAACTTTCTTTTACTAGTGTCGCAAAAAGGTGACTCCATCATTGACAGTCATGCACATACAAACAGTAAATATAAAAATATCATTCATTTGTTCATCGCATTCAATTTAGCATATTACTAGTGTCGCAAAAAGGTGACTCCATCATTGACAGTCATGCACATACAAACAGTAAATATAAAAATATCATTCATTTGTTCATCGCATTCAATTTGGCATAATATATAAAAAATACACCAATTAATGATAGTAACTAATTACAAACATTCGGCATAATATATAAAAAATACACCAATTAATGATAGTAACTAATTACAAACATTCATAATAATTTGATCAATAAAGAAATAAAAATTTCAATCAGAATAAAACATGTTCAAGTGTCATTATTTGTGAGTAGTTGAGAAGAAATAAATTATTACTATAGATTAATAATATGAATACTCACATTGATTGCCGATTAATTTGCTATTTGATTTGTCTTGATGTCTACTCTTTTAAAATTGTAAACCTAACATAAACATGGTATTCATTTTACTAAAATTTAATTTTATTGATTATGTTTTTGCAAAGTTAATAATTTAATTTATTTTAATTAGTCAAAGTTTAATAAAAGTTACCTTGTTCAACCCTAAATTCACGCGCGCGATCAACCTGCCTTTCTCACACTCAGCTTCAATTCTCCTCACACGCTGGCTTTTGCACGTTGTCACTCTCCTCCCCAACTTTTTGGTTAGTTTGTTTGTCAGGATCAAGTTCATGGGAACTCCCGTACTCGTCACCTCCTTTGCACTACAGTGGCGCCGCCTCTTCCCCTGCTCGACACCGACGCTGAGACCTCTCACTTTTCCTCTGCTCGACGACACTCTCTCCCGCATGAGACCATGAAGCCTCTTCTTTCGTCTTTACAGTTAAGTAAAACTTGTCCTGTTGCATGATTTTATAAAACGAACACACCTTCCTAGCTTCCATCCTCTCGCTTTCTATCATCTCTATTCGATGTCATGTCTGCTCGCTTTCTCTTTTTTGGTTGTTCGTTTTCTCTCCCTCTTATAAATACCCAACTCTTCACTTCCTCTCCTTTCTTGTTCATTTCCTCTTCTTCTTTGCTTGCCTTATTTCCTTCGGTTCTTCATATTGTCTCCCCCGAACTGAAACGGGTCATCACAATCTTACCCACTTATAAAATTTTTTTCATCAAAATTTATAAAATTTTCTTATAATTATCTCATTGTTGGCTCTTTCATCAAGATTGCATTAATTAATCATATACTTTGTTCTTTGATTTCTCTTTTGTCATGACCCAGCCCGGGGTTTGAAATTAATCAAGACGAGAATAGACTATCGAACAGTGAAAACTAAGATTTTGTTGTTCATTTTTTATAACTAGCCATTAACAAAATGAATGAAAAACAATATATTGAACTTTACCTCTTTATTGGTTTTCTCTCTTCTATACCCGTTTTCTCTTCAATTGTTGATCTTTAAATCAATTAAATTAATGTGAAAGGTTAGTTTAAAAATAACAGGGAGTTAAACAAGTCAGTAAATTCTTATACTTATAATACTACAACAATACAAAGAAAAGAAAGTAATATGCATGTCGGTTATGTTTTTTTAATAAATTAATATAAACTTTTGACATGTTATTAAATGAATCATAATATATCAATATCATTCTATATTTGCACAACCGTCAGATGAGCATCGTCTAAAAATTATGTCAATTAAAACACATCAATATCAATATTAATTTTTATTAACGTGCACGAGTACATTAGTGTTACTTTACTAATACTATAAATGAGTGACATCATTATAGTCAGTCATATACATACATGCAGTTAACATTATCATATCATTCATGTGCTAATTACATGCAATTCAGTGTACTATATAAACATTTATAAGAAAATCATTGAGAAAGAAAAAATCTCAACTAGAATAAATCATGTTTAAATGTTATTAACTGTCAAATAGTTGAGAAGAAATAAATTATTTATTATAGATCAATAGTATGAGTATTCACCTCGTTTGCCAATTAGGCTATTTGATTTGCTTAACATAGACTCCTCTAAAATTAAAAACCTAACATAAACATCATATTCATTTTGCTAAAATTTAATTTTTGTGATTATGTTAATGCAACTCAATATCCATACTCCAATAATAATAGAATAATTTAATTAAAATTAATCATATTTAAGGAATTTAATTTGGGTGGGTAGGAATGAGAAGAGAAAATTTGTATGATAAAAAAAACCGGTTAAAAGTTTATTAACGTTGCGGCCCTCAATTGAAGGAGAGAGTAAGAACGTGCATAACTTGATTCGGTTGGAGGAATGGTTGTACGAGAGGGGAGAAGGAAGAGAGGCTTCGATGGCTAAAGAGGCTAGAGCAGTAATGCTCTAGGTTTCACCCCTATTCCCCCCCACCCCCCCCCCCCCAACCCAACACACACACACACACATTTTTTGTAGTACTTTTTTCTGAATTTCATTTTAAAATTTCTTACTTATCTCATTAGGTTGCTTTTTTCCTATAGTTTCTCATGTAAATATGAAATTATACATTTTTTTTTTGCATGGAAACTTTTGGATGAATAATTATTACAATATGTTTGAGTAAACTTATTAAGAAAGTTTGACAGTGGGTTAGTTTCTAGTGCCTTCAAAATCCAAAAACTTGTCAAGATCAAATTTATTATATGGGGGTTTTACATACTTGTGATCTAAAACATATATATTAATTTATCAAACACCTAAACTCTAATATTTACATCTTAACCACCCAAAACTTCTATCACACTCAAATTTACCACTTTCAGTTATCAGCATTAACCTAGTCAGGCAGTGAAGGCAAGAGACTCGTTAGTGTTCGCTGAAAGACGGTGACAAGAAGCTTATTCCACATTTCATCCAACTCTGGCTGGATAAGGCTTCCGCCTTATCTTGAGTGCCTTGAGCCAAGGCATTAGTTATAGTTCGTCAAAGAAACTAGCTTTTCTTCACAGATATTGCTCTTTTCTTCAGTCATAGAGCTATTTCTACATTTTATTTTGGTGGCCGACATCTCTCATGGGAATGGTGTGGAAGCAACAAACATAAGCCAGAACTAACTCCCTTTTTTAGCTGGGATATCATGGCGCGCCACCCCGCCTCTGACAACAACTGAAGCACGGAAGCCAGAACAAACACATTCATGAGCACTGAAGAAAGTATTGCTTTTTGCGGGAGCATTGCCAGAGGCTTTTACGTGAATGATAACGGAGTGTGATGAATCTGAGAAAGGTATAAGTTTTAGGTGATTAAATGCAAATATTAGAGTTTAGGCGTTTGATATGTACGTATATATTTGATAGTAAATATACCTGTTTTAGATGGTAGACATATATTTTCAGGGTCTTGGCCTACCTGCACTATGATTATTTGTTTGAAATATTATCATTTTGTAATTTTTATTAGAATCTCAGAATAACTTGACTATTAGAATTACATTGGCATCATATTTTTTTTCTTGTAACTTTTTTTCTATGTTTGCGTAGGCTTCAGCATGGTTTGGTCCGCTACCGTGTCTTCAAGCATAATCATCCCATCTAACATCTTCATTTGTGCATATCTATAGATGGAGATTTCAGAACCAGGAATCTGTCATGGTTTGGTGCTTTGGATCGACTGGGTACTCGATGAAGAGAATTCTATAGTTATACATACAGGACCAGGTTCGCAACAATTCCATTAGCAGGTTCTAGTTATTATTATTATTATTATTATTATTAATTCTATCTGTGCTTTGTTCTTCACAGTCAACAGATACTGGAAGCAAGGAGTGAAACTTCTCAGTCGACCGTTAGATGTTGAGGCTGGATCTTCTATAGAGATTGAGGCATCCTTTGACGCTTCTTCTGGTGAGCTAACGCTGGAGCCCTATTTTCCTCCTTGATATGTACTGAGTTTGATTCCTTGGGCCTTTTGTTTGGATTTAAGGAAAATAGAATAAATGAAATTAAGTGCAAATGATTTGTGGGTTGATTAAGTAGCCACAGTGTGAACTCTTTCAACCGCCTATTTTTTGCTTTTCAAGCAAATTTGTCATCCAAACATGGCATAGAGTTTCTGTTCAAGAGCGTTCTTCGTTATTTATGTAAGCAATTCTTTAAACAAGTTGCATATGCTAATGGGATCCACTTGTCAACTCATTAAGGCTGAGTTAAATTTTATTTTAAAAAAAGGATAATTTTGTTTAAATTCTCATTTAAAGTCTAATTAATTTGGCATAAACATTTAGTATAGATAAAGATAGTTGTCATGAGTTCTTTTTTATCATTGGTACACACCAAAGCCAATCCATGCTCCTTTTATGCTAAAAAAAGAGAATCAAGTTAAAAGAAAGGATGGAATGGAAAAGAGGGCTTGTCTTTTTTCTCTTAAGCTATCCCTCTCCCCCTCTTTTGCTGAAACTTAAAAGGAAAGCTAAAAAATAAAAATAAAAAATAAAAATAATGGCATGCTTGAGGTAATTGCTCCCTTTCATCTTAGGTGGTATGTTACTTATTCCTAACTCAAATCCCTATAAAATTTAAAAATATTTGTTGAAGAAGCACTTAAGAGAACCCAAATCCATTGCTTTTGATCGTTCTATAGTCAGGCAAACCATGAACTTCAAGTTCTAATAATTAAAGGGGGTGTTTTCATACGTAGCACACAATTTTTATGTATTTACGTATCTCGCACCTAAACATTTTTATCGACACAGCACAAATTTTAATATCATGTCAAAAATAATATTATTATCACTTCTTAAAAGTGAAATATAATTTTATGCATAAGTTTAAAGCACCAGAAAGCTATATAAATATGAAAGTTTGGTGTAAGATATGTATATACATAAGAATTATGTTTTTGTGTGCAAGTTTCCCAAAAAAGAGTAGCTCCCAAACCATCATTATTCAGACAACCTCCAACAGAGCTCCGACACTGACCAATCTTTTGCAGACTATCAGAATGATAAAAATCTTTGTTATTAACCTCCAACACTGACCAATCTCTTGCAGACTATCAGAATGATAAAAATCTTTGTTATTTTCATTGCAGTGGATTTTAAGCTGCTGCAATTATCAACGCTACAAATATTTTTAGCAGCAGTTTAAAAACAATTTGGGAAGGTTTTTAGTTCTTGATGTTTGCAACTGTTTTAACTACTGTTTTCATTGCAGCAATTTTTGCTAATTGCTAACACTATAAAGGCTTATAACAATGGTACTAAATTCATCAAACAAGGTTTTTAGCTGCGATGATTTGTGCAGTGGTTATAACTGCCATGGACTTTGTCGCTGCTAATTTATGATTATACACATTTTCAATAAACCTGCATATAGAATAATAGAAATTTATATGAAAGATGATACATATATATATATATTTCACTCAATTGTTTGCTTTTATATGTCCAACACAAACTTTAATTTTTACATTTACACATTGCAGTAGATGTGTAGATATATAAATACATAGAAATGATTCGTATGCATGTAAATGTCCCAAATAAGAAAAGTCGAATGAACAAAAAAAAAATACATATTTCATATGAAAATATACTAATATCTTAAATACATTATAGTGTATATCACTCCATTAGTTCAGCCTCCAATAACTTAAAAAGAAGTATAAAGTAAGCTTAAAAATACAAATTCTACAACATTGTAGTAACATTCCCTAAAGATTAAAACATAGGGCAATACATGAGTTTAACCTCCGACAACCATCCAATAAAATAAACTAAAACACATTAAAGCAAAGTGCAAAGATTGTTGGCATAAGCGCTTTTTATATTTGGCGCACACCAGTGTCTATCCATGATTTTTTTTATGCTAAAAAAAAGAGAAACAAGTATAAGGGAAGGATTAAATGGAAAAAAAGGAGCTCTTATGTCAAGGGATGTACTTGATCGTGAACCGCT